TTCATTGGTTGATTCTTGTATGTGCGCTGACTGGGATTGAACTCGAAACCTTGGTGATTCAGGACAAAGCTCTAACCAACTGAGCTACCCAGCCAGGGCTGACTCAACTCTTTTGCTTAGGCACTCCCGCCCGTCTACCTGGTCGTCCATCTGGTCGCCCACCTGGTCGCCCATCTGGCCGCCCACCTGGTCGCCCATCTGGTCGCCGGAGACATCTGATTCTGAAGGAGATCCGAAATCTTCAGAAGAGCACACACCTGTTACTAAGGAAGATGCCCTTCTGCCGCCTGGTGAGCTCCAGGGGGCTTCCCGCCCACCCCCATGCTGCCTCCTTTCTTTAAATGTCCCCAGTATTGGGGACCCTGTCGTCTGTTGCCCAAATGGCCAGGGGACCTCTTCTCTAACTTGGTAGGGGACTCTTCATTTTCTAAAAACATGAGCCTGCCCAGGGTACCTTCCAATAAATTATGGGATTAATTTCCAACCCCACCCCCTTTGAAACTGTGTTCTTTGATTATGTAAATAGAAACCCTCTCATCCACCTGTTCATCCCTGCCCTCCGCCCACCGCCAGTAAAAGACATGCCAAGTCCTAAGCTCCCAGGAGTTGATACCTGCTGCTCCTTAGGCCCAAAGATTAAGGACCAGGAAGGTATAAAGGAAATGAAGATTGGCAGAGACTCATGGAGAGAGTCTTATCTTCCCTCGAGTCTCTATTCCCCTACTCTCTGCTCCTCCCCACTCACCTTCTCCTTTGCCTCCCATCTCCACTCCTTCACAGGTAAGAGAAATATGTGTTAAATTCACTCGCGGTGTGGACTTCAATTGGCAAGCCCATGCCCTGTTGGCCCTACAAGAGGTAAGAAGAGGGCCCTGGTACAGTGGGGTGAGGGCTGAGTATGGGAGACAGGTGTGGCACTCCCCAGGGCTGGCTGTGGAGTGTGGCGCTGACTCATGCCTCCAGGAAAAGAGCCACGAGAACACAGGGTTTGGAGGCAGGATCTGGTCTGGCGGTAGCAGAATCCCCAGGCAGTTCGGGTTCATTCTGTGAGCCGCCTTCCCTCTAGTCCGTGGAGCCCTCCCAGACTAAGTGTAGCAGGCCCCCAGGAAAAAGCAGCCTGTGCCCCCCCCCCCCCTCCCAGTCAGTCCACCTCTGTTTCCGTCCCCAGGCGGCAGAAGCGTTTCTCGTGCATCTCTTTGAGGACGCCTACCTCCTCTCCCTACATGCCGGGCGTGTGACTCTCTTCCCGAAGGATGTGCAGCTGGCCAGGAGGATCCGAGGCATCCAGGAAGGGCTGGGCTGAGGTGCCGGCGCCCCTGTAAGCCTTTCCAGCTCACCGGGGGCGGGGGGGGGGGGGGGGGGGCGGCCTAGGGCACGCACGGAGCACCCAGCCTCTCATCAGTGGGGAGGTGGGAGTTGCACTGAAGGAATTTCTCTTCTCCTTAGGTCCTTGCCCTCTTGCCTTCCCCTTTGTTCTGGAGAAAAAATATGACCTGGTTTTACCTTGAGTATTTGGGACTCTGTGGCTCCTGCCCTTTTGTACAATGTTAAATAAAGATGTTCTTCTATTAAGTAATGACCAGATGACCCAAATTTCTGTCAGAATTAAGCCTCTTCGTCTTATAAGGACCAGACAACCTCATTTTGATTTAAAAGAAGGTTTTCTTACTTTTGAAAATGCCTTGTTAGTAAATGTGATTTCTTCATTGCAGGGATGATACCGGGGACTCTGGCTGGAGCCGGGACCGATCCATGGAGTCTGGGATGCTGCCTGGATTTGCCGTCTCTGAGCAGAGTGTGCTTGTTGGTTTTGTAATTGTTGGGTTTTTTTAAGAACTTCATGGCTCTCCTCTGCAACAAGGTCACATGTAAGAAAACCAACGTGGTTCCAGAGGCCTGCGAATTACTTTCAGATAGAGACTCTGAGGTTGACTTCAGTTTATAAATTACTCACATGACTGCTTAGTGATTCCGAAGACATCAGATTTGTTGATAATTACCATTTAAATGTCCCTCCCCCCTCCATTTACATTTTTTTACCATATGTATATTTACTTCTATTTAACACATAGGGAAAAAATAAGAGAAGAACACTTCAGTCAGTTGCACGGGGGAGCCTGTAACTCCTTGTCCTTCAGATTAACTTCATTGGTGGCGGCGGCAGGTACCAATGCAGAGCCACACACTCTGTCTCTATGGCCCTATGGCCTGGCATTGGTACTGAGCCATGTACCAATGTCAGTCCATTGGGCTATGGAGTCGGCGTGTGGTGAACTGTCAACAAATGCAGCTTCTCAAAAACTCAGTTGGGGTGGAAACTGAATATCTTTTAAAGTTAAATGTTCTGACTCTTCTTAGTAAATGTCTGTCAAAATCATTCGGAAGCTCTATCTTACAGAATTCTGTTATTTGTAAATCACAGAAGATGAAACATATTTAGAATTTTTCATCCCAGGATTTTAAAGTGACTTTTCAATGTATTGATGGGTATTTTCATAACTTCTTTGTGGGGAGATTATAAAAATAAAAATAACTCTTTAATGAAAAAAGCTTAAAGCAAAGTTACTGTTAATGGCATACATGTATATTTTATGTGTTAACATTAAGTTCTTCGTTTGTACACCGCAAACCGCTGAAATGTAAACAAGAGCCCAGTGGAGTAGGAAGCAGATAAAAACCTTGCCCTTCTCTTGTAACTGAAAGCACTTTAAGAGATTTCCAGACAAAAGGGAAAGGCCACCCGAAGAGTTTTAGATTTTGTGTCTGTTAAAAATTATTAGAGAGGCCAGACTAGTCAACCGATCAGAGACAAACTGAAGGGAAGGACCAAGTTCTATTTAATACATTTTAACTTTTTGGAATATCTTGTTGGACCTCAAGTCATATTTATGCAGGCACTCAGGTAAAGCTTACATACCTGTTAATATATTTAAAGTTCTTGACAAAGCGTTAATTAGAAGATTATCATCTTCCTCCAGTTTTCTTCAAATTGTACTAAGCAGGATACCAGTACAACCAACACATGTCCACATGCCCCATGCCCTTCGTGTGCATTTCCTCGTGTAGTTGTCACAACAAGGTTAAAAGAATGTGTTATGATCCCCACATTCTGTGGGGGAGCTAAAGCTCAGATGGATGAGCTAACTCTCCAAGGTCAAGTATCCAGAAAATAGCACAAAAGATTCCAGCCTGTAGTCTTTGTTTCCCAGGAGAGAGAGCCTAGATTATAAATAAATCTAAAACCAACTACTGGGGGCATTCACAACCTCCGGTTTGGGTGCAATTTTCACCAATGTTCCAGGTCGACAGAGGGCTTCGAGGCAGCTCTTTTCTGACCAAAGGAGGTCGGTCCAAGAAAGCGGAGGCAAGAGTCCAAACGAGGCCCACTCAATGTTGCAGAAAACGTTTACTGCCACTAGAGGGCTCCCTCCCCTTGGCACGAAGTGCAGCAGGGACCTGACGAAGCTGCTGTGAGGCGCGGAACGGGGCTCCACTCTGCCTCCCCAAGCTGCCTGGAGGACTCCATAGGTCAGTGCCCCAACCTGGAGTAGTGGGGGAAAGGACGAGTCATGCCCCCAAGTTTTCACAGCCACACCCCAGGCTCCCCTTCAAGTTGGGGTTTGCCGAGCCTGGACCCGGGGTTCTGGAGGATGGGCCCCAGGCTCATTTGGGGGCTCCCTGCATATGCTCATGGTTGGGGAGGGCAGTAAACCTTCCTCCCAGGACATGTGGAAACTCAGTGAAGGTCATCCAGAAGTGCATCCCCCAAGTGCAGCCTGGCCTGCTCGGGCCCTGAGCCCACCGCGAAGGACCGCAGGCAAGTGGCCAGGGCACCTCACCTCGCGGGCTCTGCGGGCCAGCGCCCGGATAGGTTTCCCTGAGAGGGGAGGGGACACCCTGCAGAGTAGCGAGACATGTTTTGTTTGAAAATATCCCGCCGAGGGACCCACCTCTCGGGGCTGAGCAGCCGCAGCCGGGAACTCCCTCACTCTCACCCCCACCCCTCGGGCCGCAGGGTAGGGGCTTCGGCAGGGAACGGGAGGAACGGGAGCGCGGGATGGAGCTGGAAGCAAGGACTCAGTGCTGCACTTTAGCACCATCTCAATGGCAGTGCTTTTGGAGTGACATTCAGTCAAAGGAGGCAAATTACTAAACTGTATGTAAGCCATTAGCACAAATACGTAAAACAACATACGGTAAGGGCTTGAGGGGATCAGGAGATGGTACGAAGGCATAATGATCCTCTTTTTTTAGGTTTGCTGTTTTTGCTAAATTATGTGCACCTGTAAAGCGTGAAGATACAAGGTGGAGCAAATGTAAATGGGTTATAAAACATGTCCAGGGGCTCCGCCGTCCCCCGAATAAGGGTATCGGAAATAGGGCGGCGGCTGGACCCGAGGGCTCTGGATGGAGAAGCCCTAGCTGAGCGCCAACAGGAGTGAACTCGGGTTCGAGCCGCAACAGAGGGGAGGTGCGAACCTAGGTGGCCCGGAGTGGCCGTCCACTTTGTACGAGGACGTTTCCCCATAATGACAGCCCCTGCCCTCCCTGTCCTGGAATCCGCTGTGTCCACTTCGAAGGCGTCGGTCTGGGTCTGGGTCTGGGTCTGGGCAGGAACCGGGAGGCTCTAGCCCGGCCTGCAGCGAAGGGCAGGGCCTGCAGCCGCAGGGGAGAGACGGCCGGGCATTGTTTCAGCCCCTCGGGTGGGGTCCTGCAGGGGGAGGGGAGGCGGTCTGCCCTCGGGACCGCCTAGTCCTCCCAGGGGACCCGCGCATCAGCTCGTCTGAGAGCCTGAGCTTTGTGAACAGTCGGGAGTCACCATGGAAACCCCAAGGAGCCCGGCGCAGGTCACGAGGGGAATTGGCAGCGGATGCCGAGCCTCGCCCTCTGCCCCGTCTCGGACCCGGGTCCTGCAGCAGGGCCTGTCGGGAGTTGTAGTCCCAAGGCGGCGGCGGCCGTGTGCGTCGCAGAAGATGCCGGGCACCGCCTGTCCCCGCCTCCCCCTAACCTGCTAGAGCGAGGTGGGGGGCGCTGGGGCGGAGCCGTGGGATCCGTGATTGGCCGAGGTCGCCGCCAGCCCCCACCCACGGCCCCTCCCCCGCTCCCGGCTTGGGGACTCCAGCGCCCGGCGCGCCACGGCAGCTCTCCAGCGAGCGCGCGTGTAGCCGCCGCCGCCCCGGCACCCGCAGCTCCGGCGCCGCGGCGAGACCTGCGAGAGCCTGGCGATCGCACGGACCCCTGCAGCCGCAGCATCCTGGAAGAGTGGGTGATGGCGGGGCGGGCGGTGGGCTCCTTCTCCCCGGCCTGGGGGGTCCATCTCGCGACCTCTGTTTCTCCAAGAGGCTCACAAAAGGGTGTGCGCCCAGGGGCCCGGCTGCAGGGAACGTGGGGAGAGGATGAGTCGGGGCTGTGGGCGGCTAGCGAGGCTAAACTGGGGCCCGAATCCGGTCCTTTTTGTACGACCACAGAACGCCGTGCGGTGCCTGGTTCACACAGTAGGCGTTTAATGTGTGCTCGTGGGATTGCAAAGAATTGGAGTGAAGAGGCGGCGTGGTTGAAAGGGCTTCACCCCTAGGACACAGTAGGCGCCCAGCCTCGCTGGTCCAGGCGCAGTGAAAGGCTGGGAGGCTGGGTGGGGAGTCCTGCCCCAGCCCCCGCCCGTACACACACACCCTCCGTCCTCCTCGCCTTCGAGATGGGGTTTGCCGAGCCTGGACTGGACCCGGCAGCCTTTTCCACGCGTGTGGCTAACGGGGCGGACGCCTGAGGACCACTCGCCGGCCGCCTCCGAGGCACCTGCCTGCACCACAAAGGCCGCCCGCCTCGGCCTCGGCCTCGGCCTCTGCCTCCGCCGGGCCGGGGAGGGCGCTGAGCCGGATCCCTGCGTTTGCGCCCTGGGCGGGAGCCCTGCCCGCAGCACGGAGCTCGGGGGCGAGGGGCCGCGACGCCCCCGGCCTGGGTAGGGGCAGGAGGCCGCGCTGGAGAGAAGCTGCGATGGGGAGGGGCGGAGGCGAGGCCACAGTTTGAGCCAAGATGGGGAGATGGGGAAGCTGGGTGGGGACAGGTGCCTGGTCTGGGAGGAGGGAGAAGTGGGGAGCGGGGTTTGAGGTAGAAAGACAAGGGGGCGGAGGGCGGGTGAGAGGAGGGAGGGAGGGCGGGAGGGAGCTTGAGGCTGGGGCTGATGAAGAATGAGGCCGCGAGGGGCGATGCTGGAGGGCGGAGACCGTCTAGGTTTCTGGGCTGACGCGAGGGAGGCGGAGGCTCGTGGGTACCGGGAAGGGAGGTCTCTGGGGAAGGGAGGGGCCGGCAGCTAGGAGGCGGGCCCGGGGACCCTGGCTCTAGGCGCCGGGCCTGGAGGTCCAGGTGGTGGCCTGGGCGTGGCTCTACGGGCGCGGATGGACCCCGACTGCTCGGTCCCCGCGAGGAGCTTTGTCTCCCGGCCGTGGGGTCTGTGACAGCCCGCAGCGCCGCGGGCACACCCTTTTCTTGGTGGAGCTGAAAGGCTGGCTCCGGTGGCAGCTGCTGCCAGGGAGGCGGAGTGGGAGCCGTCTCCCGCCGGGGAGACCAGGAGAACAATAGCCGACCCTGGTCTCCGCCCGACGACGAATCCGCGCCCCCAGAACCCGTGCGCAGTTTTCTGGGGCAGAAAATGTTCCCGGGCCCATCTCAGGGCACGTGTTGGGGCACCGAGCCCCGCCGTTAGTCTGGGTGGGAGCCGCGCGTGGCGGGGCAGCCGGACAGCCGCCACTCGTGGCTTTGCTGCCTTCGGGTTGCGGCACCATCGCCTGCCCCGCGCTGCTGCCCGACCGCTGAGACGCCTCGGTGTGGAGCGGGCTCCCCGAGCATCTGGCTTTGTTTTCGGAGGCGGCCACATCGAAGGGCTGCTGTGTGTTCATAGAGGGGGCAGCCAGGGCTGGTGTGGATTGTGGTAAAATAGGGAGAAGCGGCCGTGGAGGTTACGCGCCAAGGATGGGGCTCCTGGTCTGAGAGCCTGCAGCCAGAGCCCAGCGCTTCTCTCTGCCAGTGACCACACCCAAGCCAGTATCTCACCATCCTTTGCAGATTTCGCCCATATTGTCTGCTGACCTAAGACAGGGACGGCTCTGTGGTAGGAGGTGGCTGCTTGCCCGTGGGAAAGCAGATGAACAGCTCTGGAAACACAAAACAGGGATTCAGCAGAGCTTGCCATGCACACAGTCTCGCACCGGCTAAGCACCCTTTATGTCAGGCTGTAGCGTCTTGGGTGAAACGACAGCCAAAAACCAGAATTTTGTTTTACAGGTTTTCTTTGACCATTGTTTAGCTGACATTAAGGGTGAGTCGTTATCATAAGGTTTATAATTTCTGTCATTCATTAAAATAAAAAGAGCAAGGCAAAAGCATTTTTATTCCACAGTGAAGGACGCTTGGCTAAAAGACAGCACTTAAGGACTAAAAGGTGTGATTTATATTTGCCATTATGTTATCTGATGCACCTGTTAGCCTCTTAGCCTTGAAGCCTCCAGATCTTCTTTCTTACCCAGTTGATGCAGATGGTGAGGGGCTGTGATAATGACTGTTGGTTCTTGCCCACATGTATGGTAGTTGGTGACGTGAAGGTCTCTTGCCTGGGTTGTACCGAGTGGCCACAGGACAGCAGCGGTAGGCTATATCTTGCTGGTTTAAAAGGATGGTGCTTCGCCCTGGCCTGTGTGGCTCAGTTGGTGAAACGTTGTCCCATGAAGGAGAGATCACCAGTTCGATTCCTGGTCAGGGCAAATGCATCATTCCGCTCCCACCTCCTGTGGCAAGTTCGAGGCTCAATCCCAGGTGGGGGGCTTGCAGGAAGCAGCCAACAGATGTTTCTCCCTCTCATCAATATTTCTCTCTTTCTCTCCCTCTCCCTTCCTCTCACTCCGAAATGAATGGAAGCATATTTTAAAAAAATAAAAGGATGGTGCTTTGAAAAAATGGTTCTCAGAATTCACGAAACTATTGAAAGGACTAGCTGGAATATTGCTCATTGTATGTTTTTAACTAAATGAACAGGTCTGCCTATATCCATAGTTCATGGAAACCAGGTACCCCAATATAAGAAAACTAGAAATCTGACACTGAAGGTTTTTCTTGTGGAAAAACGCCTATGGGAAATGTGTTTTCATGTCATTACCCAAGAGCAAAAGTTTTAGGAGGGGATGTTTCCTTGTTTCATTTTTTATTTTTTTGAAAGAATTTTATGGATTTGTTTAAGAGTGTAATCCTCCCCTGGCCAGGTAACTCAGTTGGTTAGAGCATTTTTCTGATATGCCAAGGTTTTGGGTTCGATCCCGGGTCAGGGCGCATACAAGAATCAACCAATGAATGCACAAATAAATGGAACAACAAATTGATATTTCTCTCCCTGCCCCCCTTCCTCTCCTCTCGCTAAAAAAAATAAATAAATAAAAATAAAAAAGTTAAAAAAAATTTTTTATTGATTTCAGAGAAGAAGGGAGAGGGAAAGAGAGATAAAAAACATCAATGCTGAGAGAGAATCATTGATCAACTGCCTCCTGCATTCCCCCTACTGGGGATTGAGCCCACAACCTGGGTATGTGCCCTTGACCGGAAACTAACCTGGGACCCTTCAGTCCACAGGCCGATGGTCTATCCACTGAGCAAAACAGGCGAGGGCAAGAGTTGTTTGTTTGTTAGTTTGTTTGTTTGTTTTAAGTGTAATCCTATTAAGGCACTGTGTGAACATCTAACCCAGTCTTTTCCTCATGGTGGGGAGTCCATAGATGAGGAATGCGAGTATGACCAAGGAAGAGGGAGAGAAAAGCATCATTCCGCTCCCACCTCCTGTGGCAATGCCTAGGAGACAGCGCCCAGAGGGGAGAGGCAGGTGGACCTAGAAAGGACTTTATGTCCCCAGAATTCTGGGGTGCCATTCCTAATCCCATCTCCAAGAGCCTGGAGACCTTGGCGAGGTAGATAGAAGATGCTCATGGGGCATGACCTGGCCATGTTCAGCATAACCTCTCCAGGATGCAGATGGAACCAGAGGAGTTTCCATATTCTCAGTGCACTGCATGTTTTCGCCTCTAGAAACAGTTCCACAGCAAGGCAGCTTTACACCACTGGCCACAATTGGGTTAGGGGGCTTGGTGTAAGCTTCATCTGTGGTTCCCCTTCTTCTCTCTGTCCTCTCTCTGCCATGGACATCTGAGAGTTTCCCCCCAATAGCTGCTCCGACCCAGGATCCAGCCTGATCCTGCATTAGCGCCAGGAACTGTAGGCCAACAGCCATCACAACTGTGGACAAATCTCGGGGAAATTAGGATTTAGATCAGGGGTGGGCAAACTTTTTGACTCGAGGGCCACAATGGGTTCTTAAACTGGACCGGAGGGCCGGAACAAAAGCATGGATGGAGTGTTTGTGTGAACTAATATAAATTCAAAGTAAACATCATTACATAAAAGGGTACGGTCTTTTTTTTTTTTTTTTTAATTTTATTCATTTCAAACGGGCCGGATCTGGCCTGCGGGCCGTAGTTTGCCCACGGCTGATTTAGATACATATTGAGAGCCAGAGAAGTCGGTGTTATTAGAAAAGAGTGTCCAAGACCCAATCTATCTTTCTGGTGTAAAAATTAACCAAATTCAGATAGAATCTCATCCTGTGCATACGTTTTTGTTTTCTGAACTTTAAAAAAAAAATTTCAGAGTAGTCGTCTAAGGCTAGGTCACCGGATCCTGTAGGAGAACAATAATACAGAACACCCTTGCAATGTGAAAACCTGTGGGAAGGTGGCTTCATGAAATCAAATGAGGATAATAAGTAGGAAGGTGTTTGATCTTATAGCACTGCTAGTAAATAAATGAGAAATCATCTCAAGATTGCTTTGTCTTACATTTTTTATGTGAAGATCATAGGTTCAAATATGATGGTATGAATCTTCAATGAACTTTAATGTTTACATATAAAAGCAGACACAACATAGACTTTACCAAAAGAAATTCATGGTAGGATATTGTTTATGATTTGTTCCATTTCCATTTTTTAAAACTCGTTAATTTAAAATAAGTTGACTTAACCGTCGCGGTCCCTGAGCCCCTCACGCCCTTCCATCAGTCACAGCTCAGTTTAGTGCTTGTGCCTGCGCCTGTGCCCGCTCCCACCTGGACCCCCCTCCTCACCATCCAGGCTCAGAAGCAGGGTGCGCAGGAGGGAGGAGGGTCTGAGCCAGAAAGCCTGGGTCAAATGCCAGCTCGGCCACGTTATGTTTGTCCATCCTTAGGTT